GAGTACACTGAAATATAATTACTCAAGTAAAGTACAGATATCCTAAATCTCTACTTAAGTACAGTAACAAAGTATTTGTATTTAGTTTCTTTACAGCTCTGATTAAAGAAACTTGATCTTTGTGGTTAAATAAATGACTTCTTAAAGTGAGATAAATACATCAGATGAACAACTGATGAGTTTTACTTTGTTACTGAACAAAACTGAGTCCAGAAGTTTAACTACGTCCAGCTGCTCCTGATCAAACCCACTGATTACTGATCCGTTCAGAACAGAACCAGGTTCTTTAGTCGTTTTAGGTCCTGGTTCTGATGCTGCTGCTCCAACACATGATGACAGAAGATCTGCAGCATGCTGCAGGAGGAAACTTAGGCCACCAAGCTAGATTTAACAACAAACACCAAAACAGGGTCTGAAGTTGCAGGAAGCAGCTAAAACTGTCACAACTTAAAGAAACTTAAATATGTATATACGATTAAATCAGTAGTAAGAAGCATAAAGAAGTACAAAACATATAAATTAGCAGAAAAATAGCAGAAAGGAGCTGAAGTAGTAGAAAAAAGACAAAACTGGCAGAAAAAYGAGCAGAAAAAAGCTGAAGGTGACACAGAATAAAAGCACAAAGAAATGACAAATTGTTGTAAAACAGCTCACATGTAACTAAAGTACTGACATTAGCAACAGAAACACACAAAGAGCAAATGTTTGCAAAAACAAGCTAAAATGGTCACAAAGCTTGAAAAAAACTACTGTTAATTTTAGTAATTAACAGGTTMAATTAGCAGAAAACAACTGAAACAAGCACAAAAAGTACACATGATCAGAGGAATTACAGAAAGAGTATAACTTTAGCTAAAATTGCAGGAAAAGCTAAAATTAGAAAAAAAAAAGCTAAAATTAGAGAAAAAAAGCTAAAATGAGCAGAAGGAAGTTGAAAGAGCAGAACCAGAACAAAATGAGTGAAGATCAGGAAAACATGTTGACGGTTTTTAAAGATGCTGAAAATGAAACATAACGTTCAGACAAAGAATGATGATGTCAGTGTTTCTGTTTGTCTGAGATTATTCTCACATAAACAAAATGTATGTTTTTACAATGATGAATATAAAAAGGCTGTAGTTATTTTTATAAGTCTAGGGTTTAAATCTTCAATGGCAGATCACTTTGTTTACATTTTATTATGTGTAAAAACAACTCATCAAACCAGTCTGTTAATGTTTTAATGGGAACATTGGTTATTACTAATATTGAACCATTAAAACACCACAGTTAAACCATTCACACTGGAATAAAACACTGTTGACATACATGTGATAAAATGTTTATATTCTCCTACTTATAGTATATTTTATAAATAATGAAGTTCATCTAAAAGCACTGAGAAGCTGCTGGAGATCACCATGACATCAAACAAGGATCAAACTGGTTTTAAAGAACTGTCTGAGACATCCCACAGAACTTTGTAAGACCTGGTGAGATGTTCTGGGTGAAGGTCTGAACAGGACAGATTATTCCTGGAGGTGGGGTTTTTTGGGGGGGGGGGGG